CACTCACGGTAGCTTTTGGCAACCCACTGCAGCAGGGGCTGCAGCCTATGCTGTCGCCAGCGACACACGGCAGCCCAGCTCCAGGTCGAGTTGTAGTTTAACATCTTAGCTGTAGAGGGCACAGCGTCACTGGCCCTCATGTGGGATCCAAACCGGCGGCCCTGCTTCTCAGAGCTGGCGTCCCAAGCCAACTCTTAACCAACAAGCCACTCGGCTGGCTCAGTAGGCAGCCTTTTAAATCTGGCTTCTTTCACTCAGCATAATACATTTGAGCTTCATCTATGTAGTTGTCTGTATCAATAGTCCACTCCTCTTGATTGCTGAGTAGTATTCTGTTGTGTGGATGTGCTATAGTTTATCTATTCACTAGTTGAAGGACATTGGGCTGTTTCCTAAATAACTTTTAAAAGTGTAAAGTGGTCATGAGACCACAAATTTTGAAAGATGATGGTAATGGATGCATCATCTTTACATGGGAAATTATTAGATGGATGAAAGACCCCTATTTTGGAAGTAGGATTGAAAGAATTTACACATCAGATGAGATGGTGTGTGGAGGGTCAAAGAAAGAGAAAAGAGTGAAATTAAGTCTAACTCTGAGGTTTCTGGCTTAAACAGCTGGTTTTTGCAAATGAGGACGGATTGGTCTTGGTTCCAAAGGAATCAAGGATATAATTTTGGACATTTTGAGTCTGAGATGCTTCTGAGCTATCCAAATGGAGATATTGGTATATAGGGGTCTGAATTTCAGAGAAGTCTGGGCTGAAAATGAGAATTTGGGCGTCATCAGAGTATACAGGGTAATTGAAACCATGAAAGATAAATGAGACTTCTGAGAGTGGGAATGCGGAGTGAAAAAGGAAGAAGACCTAGGTCAGGCTCCTGAGAAACACCTATATTTAAGGATCTGGCCGAGGGGGAGAAGTCAATGAAAGACTATTCCAGAGAGATAGGAGGAACATGAGGGGAGAGTTGTATCACAGAGGTCAAGAGAAGAAAACATTTCAAGAAGGGCGAAGTTATCAAGGGCACTGAATGCTGCAACCGAGGTCAAGGAAGTTAAGGACTGAAAAGCAGCCACTGAATTTGATGACATGGGTGTCATTTTTGACTTTGATGAGAACGTCTTGGTGGTGATAGAATACGCATATTTCTGATCCTCTCTCTGCCCTAGACCCTAACTCCTTCTCCCACAGCTCTCTCATCCCTGCTCCTTTATCCCTAGAATCTCTCTTATTTCTCTTTCTAGGCTCCTCCTTTTATCGCACCATCTCCTCTCTCTCCCTCTAGACCTTGCTTTATATAGACTTCTCTTAGAATTTCTTTCTCAAAGACCTCTCCTCTCTTCCTGCTCTCTTCCTTGACCCATCTCTTCCCAGACCCTCGTTTTTCTCCTTTTGTTCTCTTACTGCTCATGCGTCTCCTTAACCAGATGCTACTTTTCTCAGACTGCTGTTCTTTCCTCCCTTCTTTCAGACCCCTCTCCATTCCCCCACCTAGCTAGGCTGTCTGGATCTCAGCAAGGCTCTCAGCAGATTACTAAGGAGCTTCCTAGGCTCAACGCTGGGGAGTCATAGCCTTTGGCATGACTGCACCAAGAGCTGCCAGCGCCAGCCTGTAGGAAACACAATGTTAGAACCTAGTCCTTGAGTGATTGCCAGTCTGGTAACCACATCCTGCCAACACAGTACCCTCATCCGCCCTGGCACCTGCCCCTACGTTTCTTCCTTTTCCTGTTCTAAATTGCAGAGAGTCACTGTGAGCTGATAATTCTATCTTGCACTCAGCCAGCATTTTTTATTTGTCAAAATGCTTTCATATTCATTAGCCCAGCCATGGGAAGTCAGCTGGGTGAAGCCTGGAGAAAGAAGACATGATTTGCCTCAGCTCATACAGCTGGTTAGAAGATTGGTCTGCTATGCCTCACTCTCCTTCAGTCTTGCTTATTTTCATGCCCAGTGAATCCCCAGGTCTGAGCTCAGACATGGCTTCCCTTTTAGCTTGTCCCAACTAGCGAAGGGGTAGCACCCTGGGAGCACTGCCAGGGGTCAGTACCCCATTCTCACCTGCAAGACAGTTATGTGCCACCTTGGGAAGGACACTGCTTTTTTATTTGCTTCTTTGAATTCACATTAGGCAACATTCTGCCTGTTTGCTTAGATATTACTTCCAAAACGGTGTAGAGCATAATGATGAAGTGCCAAGCTCCAGAGTCAGCCAGGTTTGGTGCCTAGGCCTGGCTCTGCAGCATCTCAGTAAGACAATATGTAGAAAACCCCCAGCACAGGGCCTGGCACCTACAAAGTGTCCAATGAATAGTGGCCACTAATCTTATCATTTTTACATAGGAATCCTTGGGAGGGCGTCAGTGTGGTACACTGAAAAGTTTATTCAACCAGACATCTGGAGACCTAGATTCCAGGTCTCACTATTACTGCCCAGCTTGGGATGTTGAGTAACTCATTCATTTCATTTCACTGGGCCTAGGCTTTCTCATCTGGAAATAGTAATAGCTGCCCTACTGTTGTCAGAGAGTGGGCCCTTCTGGGCGCGAAGTCCAGGTCCTTGGCGTCTCGAGCAAAGAATTGAACGAGATACTGAAGCAAAGTAATGAAAAAGCAGTTTATTAGAAGAGATAGTACACTTTAAAGAAGTAGAAGCGGGCCTGAGCAGTAGAGAATGGCTCAAGGGCCCGTCATTAGAAGAGAAATTACATTCCAAAAAGTTTGGAGTGGGCCACGCGCAAAGGCGAGGCTCAAAGGGCTCAAAAAGGGAAGAAGGCGGTCCAAAAAAGGAAGCAGTCCAAAAGGGCGGACTTCCTAGGACTTGGAGTTTTTATCCCCTTTTTCTCTGGAATGGGCTGTTCCCCTCTGAGCGTGGGACCACTTGATTGGCACCTGTGATTGACAAAAGGTACTACGCAGGTGCAAGTGACTGGTCTGATCTAGTTGGGTATTTTGTGCCCATTTGTTTTCCCACAAGGGTAGGTAATTACAATACAAAGGGGGAGTTTTGGGTGGAGAGGGGAGGTTTCCTGGGCAGTTGCATTCTGTGGGTTGTGTTGGACGTGTAGGAATGCAGAGACCCAATGCCTGCCTCTAATTTCCTGCCTAGTTTTCCCCTTGAGAGACGTGTTCCTTATAAAATCTATATGGGAAGTTGAGGGACGGGAGGCCTTTTCTTCTGTGTCTGCTTCCTGCTGGGCAGGGTCATAGAAGTGTCCCTGCTTATTGGGGGATTCACAGGACTCTCACCCTAGCTGGTCTTAGATGAGAGGAAGGGGTCTCGAGATCAGTCTGGAGGACTGTGTTGGCTTCTTTGGTTGTGACTGACAATCTTGCTGGGGTGTCATTTGTATCCCCAAGGTCCTTGAATGAGGAAAAATGGATTTTAATAAATCTGTTAGCTCTTATGAAGCCTGTGGCCATTCAACTGGTCACTCAGGTGGCGTCAGTTGTCCAGGAGCTGGGCCCAGAATGGGTTTGGAAAGAAACATTAGGCTTATTGCTTTGGGGAAATGTTAAAACCTATTCAGATCTTGAGGGATGTTGGGAAGTCACAGGCTTTTAAGTAGTTATCTGAAACAAGGGTTGGAGATTTCTATTGTTTAGGATTTAGAAACTGACATACAAAACAATCAAGAAGCAGGGGGATAGGAGAACTCTGATTCAGGCTAGGAGCAATCTTTAGTCTAGGATTCACAGACTCATTAGAAAAGTAATCAAAGCCAAGAGCTAAGGAACTAAGAAACTAGGGAGGAGACTTAACATTTCTATACTTAACATTTCTATAGGAAACGAAACTTAAAAGTCTTTCAATGGGCGGATGGGGGCTACTCAACTGGCCCACAACACTACTTTTGTAATATGTTGTTTTAGCCTTTAGAGTATGCATACTCTTTGCCCTAGCTATTCAATTCCTAGGAATTGTTTGTATTGTGTGTAAAGATTCTAGGTTATGATAGTGAAAAAAATAGAAATAACAAAAATGTCTATGAGTTAATGGTTAAATAAATTATATTTTTATATAATAGAATATAACGCAGCCATAAGAAATGATCCAGATTCATTTTTTAACAGACATGGAAATAGGATCGTGTCAGTGGACCATGTCAATGTCATATCATTACATTATTTAGAAACGATAGAAGGTTACAGAATTGCAAGATAAAATGTGATTCAATTTTGCAAAAATATTTCTATTCATGTCGCTATAGAACATCAAAACGTTAACAATGATTAACATTATACCCCTTGCTGGTAGTATTATCAAGACCTCTGTTTTCTTCATATTTTATTTTCTGAATTCTTTGCAATAGCACCTAGTATTAGTTTTTTAATCGGAAAAAAAGGAAAGCTTTTTTTTTTTCCATTTGGAGAGGAAACCCAGCCTCTGCACTCTGCTCCACAGACCTTGTGGGAGACTGAAATGACAGAGTATGGTACTCCTGTGTGTGGTACAAAGGGGAGGCCCACGGTTGCCATGGATGTCTCAGTCCCATGTTGTAGGGACCTACGCTTTGAACCCAACAGAGACTGAACCTATAGTACACATTTATTGTTTTACCTTGGGGTCAACCTTAGGAGTGCGATAGGGCTGGGGGCTTTGCTGGTGAACAAATATGGGTGGAAGAGTCTGCGAGCTTTATGCAATGCAGGGCTGCCTGGGCACTAGCTCACTGGGCTGTTTTTATGAGGCTTACTTCCTGCTGGGCTGTAAGGCTGCTAGCCAGGAACACCTAATGGGCATAAGAGACCCCCCTCCTCTCCCTACTCCCAAAGCTGAAATGTTCCAAATTCTTCCTTGGGCCAAACGGCTCTCCCCCAAGTCCTCTCCTGGACTCACAGAGGTCACCACACAAAAGCCCAGCTGGAGTTTTTGACAGGAAAAACAAAAAATTCGCCAAACTTTTTTTAAGTACCTCAATCTTCCATAGCCTCCAGGGGTTTAATTCTGATCTGTAATAAGTCTCTGACCTGAGGCTGAGATTTGTAGATGGATTTTGCAAAGCTGCTGCGAACAATTAGAAATCCCTTATCACCTCAGCCTGGGGCCTCTTGCATCTTGTTCCCCTCCCTTGGGATCCCTTCAGGATCCTCTCCAGGGCCATACATCTCCTCCAAGGCTCTCCAAAGGAACTGTTTCGTAAGTGTTTCAATTCTGATTTATTTGCTGCCTTTTAAGCTCACTCAGGTGGGCGTCTTGCTTCCTAGTTGCTGTCAATTTGGCCCATGGGACAGCCGGGCGGGGCCACCTTGGGATTCTGAGGGAAGGGCACTGGAGGGAAAATTCAGGTGGGTCTCTGGTATTGTTTCCTCAAGGCTATCACAAAGTTTCCAGTCTTTGAAATTACAGGGCCAGAGGAAGCATTCTCCATATCAGATCATAATCTCTGAATGGAGCTTTTGAGGGCAAAAGGACTGAAATTTAAAAAACCATGGGAGGAAAAGAGCTACTTTACAACTCTAACTAGGGGGACTAAGGAGGGTCGGAAGGGGTGCTCCCTCCCAGCCAGCTCTGGTGCCTGCCCTAGCACGAAGGCTCAGGGCATCAGCAGAAGGCGGATTTTTGAGTGAAGTCAAGTCTCCCCTTCAAGCCCTTAAATAACTCTCCTCCACCGGTCTGCATGTCTGTCATTAGAAATTCCCCTTGGAAGGAAATCCTGCCGTTTGGGACAGCATGGATGAAACTTGAGGGCATTAGGCCAAGTGAAATGAGTCAGACAGAGAAAGACAAATGCTGTATACTCTCGCTTATATGTGGAATAATCCAACACAAATATGAGCTCATAGATAACAGAGAACAGATTGGTGGTTGCCAGCATCAGGGGTGGGGTGGGAATGGGTGGGTGGGTGAAATGGGAGAAGGGGGTCAAAAGGTACAAACTTCCAGTTATAAGAAAATCCTGGGGGTGTAATGTACAGCATGGCGACTATAGTTAATAATACTGTGTTGTATATTTGAAAGTTGCCAATATAGTAGATCTTAAAAGTTCTCATCACAAGGAAAAAAGAAAAAAACTTACATGGTGATGGATGTTAACTAAACTTTTTGTGGTGATCATTTTGCAATACATACATCTATCAAATCATTATGTTGTACACCTAAAACTAATACAATGTTATATGTCAATTACATCTAAATAAAAACAAAAGAAATTCCTTGTTTGGACTGAGACCTTATTCTCTTCAAGTGTCCTCTTTGAAACAGATCTGGAACCAAAACATTAACAGCACTTTAGTTGGGGAGATTGTAAGTAATGCCTGTTTTCTAAAGGCTGCCTTTCTGCATTTTCTAGCTTTCTAAAATGAGAGTGCTTTACTTCAATGTTCAGGACAAAAATAAACTTCTTTTTAAAGCAATTAGAAAAATGTCCCAATCCAGTTGTAGTTCCCCAAGCTGTCATCAATCAACTGATGCAGAAGGAAAGGTGAACTGCTCCAAGGACAAACTTTCCAGAAAGTGGGGCTTCAAAGGAATGGCTTTACCACTTACTGGAGCCCTCAGCAGCTGAGGTCAAGGGTTGGAGAAATGAGGCTGAGTGACAGAAGAGAGCTGTGGTGGCCCCATCACCCACAGGACACCACATGAGGTCCTTCCTTGAGTGTGTGAACCCCACCTGTCTTGTCCCACTCAGTCTTATGAGGGTGCTCCCAAAGAAGGGGTACCATCCACAAAACACTGGGACCAAAAAAATCGAGGGGACTAGCAGGGCAAGAAGGGGTTAATTCAGAAGCTGCTGTCAGTCTTTACCCCCCTAATCTTCTCCTGCAGTTCTAATCCCTCCTCTAAGGAAGATTAGGTAAGGATCCTAAATGAAGCCTTCTTGCCCAGCTCTTGGGCCATGGAGTGTTGGTCCCATGCCCAGAAGACAAAGTCAGCTGGCAAGGCCTAGAGTTCTCTGCTCCTCCAAAGCAGCCAGGGCTTGACTTCTAGGAGGATCCCTCAAAGAGATGAGTTTCTTTTCGATCTGCCTGCTTCTAATAATAGCTGTTCCATCTTCTATGTTTGTCAGAGGGGCTTCCTGTTCCCATTACCTTATTTGAGACTCAAAACTTAGAGGTGAGCAAACTAGGGCCTGCAGAAGTTAGGGAACTTCCTCAACAGGTTCTAGGCAGAACCTAGACACACAGATTTTGCTGTGATATTGACATTGCCCTTTAGGTCACCAGTATGCTTTGAATACAGTTAACCATTTGTTAAGGACCTACTATCTTCCATGACCACACTGAAAGGCTGGTATCATCTCCATTTTACAGATGAGGAAACTAAAGTGTAAAGAATGGAAGTGACTCTCCCAAGGCCACACAGCTAGAGAGTGCAGAGGCAAACTCAAACCCTTGTCTGACTCCAAAGCCCAGGTTATTTTCCCACTACACCGTACTGCCTGTCTTGAAAACGATTAGCCTTGGCTTTTTCCTTTTGATAAGAATGTGCTAAAGTCAGCCCACACTAATTGGAATTTCCAAGGTTATTTGATTCTCAGGCTGGAACTCTTTCTCTAAATCCTCTACCACTCGTCACACAAACAAAAACAGACTCTAGCCTGGCATACCAGCCAATCACTTGCTATATTGCCCACTTTACCTTCTTGACCCTGGCTGAAAGCTGACCCCCATTGTGCAATCTCTCCCAAATGAATAAGCTCCAACAACTTGTTCTTCCTCCTGCCCAGCTATGCCAAGTTAGACTCTCTAGAGATTACAAACCTCAGGGATGGCAATTTTTTTTTACTCCGTCTTCCCCCGGCCCCAAACTACTTCCCTCTTTACTCCTACTGAGTCAGGACTGGCTCTGGGGAGAAGCTCTCTTCTTGGGGACACTGTTGACTCCCATAGGACACTCAAGCTGGGTTCTTCTGCCACCATCCCAAGACGGCTGAAGCAGGAGCTGCTTCTCTGGGAAGCAGGAGGTCATCTCCCCCAAAACCTCAAGGTAGCTCACCAATTAGCACTGAAAGCACAGATATAGATAGGGAGTACAAATTCAAAGTATTTAATCCAGCCTGGGTGGGCAAAGGGGTCTAAGGAAGGTTTCAACATGATGAGTCCTGAAGGATGACTAGCAATTACCACATTTTGCCGTGTGTACTGCTCTCCCATGTATAATGTGCACCCACGTTTTTGGCCCAAACATTCAGGAAAAACAATCTTCCGTTTTCATTTTTTACTTCAAATTTTTATTTGTTTACATTTAGGTACTTGTTTTTTGTATTCGAAAGGAATTTTAGCATTTATTTTTTAACATATTATGGTACAAGAAATTTTGTGTAACAAATACTTACAAAGCACAAGAACAGATACAAGTTACAATAAATTTTATGTGCCGGTAACAAATTTACGATACTTTCGCATCATAGAAGGCCAAGAACTCTTTGTCGTTGCAAGTTCATCATTAGTTCAACAAAACCATTATCGTATTCCAGGGTATTATTTTGCATATGGATATCACTATTGATTTCTAGAGTTACACTTTTAACTCATAAGCATAAGTAAAAGAATTAAAAACACTTATATAGATACAGAATTAGTACTACCCATGCATAATTTGTATCCTTATTTTTCCCTCACAAATTTGGGCAAAAAAGTGTACATTATACACGGCAAAATGTGGTAGTCAAGCAAATGGTGGATGGTAGAGTAGCATGCTTAAGGCTGGGAGACAGAGAGAAAAGCGAATTCAGAGAAGTACATGTGTTTAAGTATGGCTGGATTGTATGTGTGCATGTGCATGCACATGAGGTTATTAGGTTGGAGGCTGGGAAGAAAAGCAGGAGTTGGACAACTGAGGGCCCTCCTGAAAGCAATTAAGAGGTCCTGAAGATTTTTAAGCATGGCAAAGAGGTGGGTGGCACTTATGATTTCATTTCCATTTTAGAAAGATCCTTAACTACTGGATGGATAATTGATTGCAGGGGCAGGGCAGAAGTGGAATTGGAGAGATCAACTTGAGGTGCCTATGAGATTTCCAAATAAACAAGAGATAATAGTTGCATCTAGTTTGAACTAAAGTTTAGGCAATGGAGATGGGAAAAAGTGTGTTTATTCAGAATATATCTTACCAGCAGATCTGATAGGACTTCATAATTGACCATATGACAAGAAGAGGCGAGGCATCCAGGTTGGGTTACTGGATTAGTGATGGTTCTTCTGAAATAGGGAAGACTATGTGAGGAATAGTTTGGGGGTAGAGAAAGAGAAGAGGGCAGATGATTTCAGCTTTGCAAATGTTGAGTTTGAGGTACCATTAAAACAGTCAGGTGGGAGGCCGGTTGAGTGGCACATTGGTTAGGAGTTGGCTTGGGACGTCAGCTCTGAGCAGCAGGGCCTCGGTTCGGATCTCACATATGAGGGCCAGAGACACTGCATCCTCTACAGCTAAGATGGTGAACAACAGCTCAACCTGGAGCTGGGCTGCCGTGAGTCACCGGCGATGGCGTAGGCTGCAGTGGGCCTGGCCGGCAGTGGGTGTGCATTTTTGTGAGCTGCCGTGAGCCGCCCAGAGCGGCCTTCTAATGGCCAGCGAGCAACTGCCTCTCCCGGGACGAGCACAATGATAATACCAGCATGGGCCAGTGAAGCGACGTCCTCCACAACTAGACTGAAGAACAAAAGGACAGCAACTTGTCAGTTCCCCTTCCCCGGTTCCCCAACGCTGCTCCCCTCCCTCAATTCCCCAATAAAATAATACAAAACAAACAAAAAACATTCAGGTGGGGTCATTTCAAGTGCAGTTGAATGTACAAATGTTGAGTTCAGGAGAGAGATCTGTGCCAGAGTTATGGATTCAGGAGTCATTGCTATGGAGACAGAGTGGATGAGATTACCCATGGATAATGTAAAGAATGAAATGTCTAGAAGTCTAGATGAAACCCTGGATGGAATAGTTAGATTTACAGAGTGAGAAGAGGAACTTGTAAAGAAGACCTAAGAGAATTATTTTGAGAGGCAGGGGAAACTGGGAGTAGTGTTACAGAAAACAAGGGAAAGGACAGTTTTATGAAGGAGAGGGACAAGGTGAGATGACAGAGATAAGATCATTGGATTTTGAACAAGGAAATTGTTTCTAACCTTAGTGAGACTCTTTTCAGTGGAGGGCTAATGGCAGAAGCAAGACTGCAGAGAATTAAGCAGTGAGTGGGAGAGAGGAAAAGTACAGACCTCAATATAAAATGGCTTGTTTAAGAATCTTGGCTGCAAAGAGAGGGTAATAGCTGCAGAGAGGGGAGGGTAGCTCAAAAAGAGTGATAAGTATTTGAAGTAGTCACCCAGAGATACTCAGCAGGGGGTAGTAGAAGGACTTCCAAGTAATAGTGAAAGCCCCACTGAGATGCACAGTCACGATCAGGCTAGGTAGAATTGTGCCCCATTTAGCAATAAGAAAACTAATACCTGGAAAGGACTTCCGCAGCATCACAGATGGTAAGTGACAGAGGTGAGATTCAAACCAGATTTCCCTTCCCACCTCCTGTCAAATGTTTATTGGCCCTTGCTCTGCACAGCTTTGTATCAACATTGGCACTTTCATATCCATCACTGATGAATACTGATAAATATCAACCATGTGCCCAATACTGCAGAGGCACAATAGTTTAATATATGGTTTCCTCCCCCAAATTGTTTAGAACTTGGTTGAAGAGACAAAATATTCAACAAATGTATATACACATAAAATGGTGACACTTTGTCTCTGTTTCTCTCTCTGTCTCTTTGTTTCCATCTCTCTCTCTCTCTCTCTCTCTCTCTCTCTCTCTCTCTCTCTCTCTCTCTCTCTCTCTCTCTCTCTCTCTCTCTCTCCCCATTTCCCTTCTTTCTCCTTTCCCAACACTGGGCATCTCAGGTCCCTTACACTGAGGTGTTATTCACTCATTGAAAAAGTCTATATCTTACATCCCTCAAACCTCTTTACTACTTTTATTCCTTCACTAAGAAGACATGTTTGAATACTGGCTCTGGGTAATGCACTGTGTAAGGCACTTGAGATACAGAGATGAATAAGATACAGTCTTTGGTTTCAGTTAGCTCACAGACCAGTGGGGAAGAATAAGGATTTAAACAGGAAATGTAAACAGTTTCCTCATCTGTACAATATGGATTTTTGTACCACAAAGTGTTATTGTGATATTAAATGTGTTAACATGTGTGAAATGCTTATAATGGTCACACAGGAAACACTACATAGTGTTACTATTTGTCTTATTATAATTATTATGATGGAGGTAAGTAAACACAAGATACTGTAAGAACACAGAGGAGGGACACTTCAGCTAAAGTAAGAGACATCTGAACTGAGTCCGAAAGGATGATAAGGCACTAAACAGAAGGAGAAACATGCCAGGCATTCTGCACAGAAGGAACTGCCTGTACTCAGGTTTGTAAGCAAAAGCCAAGATGGTCTGATTAAGGAACTGAAAGTAATTTAATTTAGCAAGACCATAGAGTCTGAGTAGGGGAACGGCAAGAGCTGAAGCTTGAGAGGTCATGGAGTACAAACAAGTTTGGACTTTATCCTTTAGCTGGTGGGGAGCCACTGGAATATAGAGCAGTGACTTGATCAGATTAAAGTATTGAAAGATTACCTTAGTGACTGCGTGGAGAATGAATTGGAGGAGGCAAGATTGGAAGTAAGGCCAGTTAGGAAGTCGCTGCTCTACTATCGTCCAGGGGAGAGAGGATGAGGAAGCTCTGAACTGGGAAAGTAGCAGTAGGGATAGAGAGAAGGATACCATGGATTTGAGGTATAGTCAAGAGGTAGAATTGGTGAGACAGTGACCACAGAGGGTGAGGGATAAGCATGAGAGAGGTGTCAAGAATCACTCCCAGGATTTTGGTCCAGTGCAAGAAGGTGAATAGAGATATCATTCAGTGACCATAGGGAACCCAGGGAAGAACTGTTGAGGGAGGGGTGCAATAGGAAAGGTGATGAATTCCCTTTTAAATACATCGAATTTGAGGTGCCTCTGAGATTTCCAAGTGGGCATTTTAAACAGATAATTGTTGTGGAAGTCTTGAAGCTCAGGAGGAAGGTCTATGCGGGAAATGTAGATTTGGGAATGCCAGTGGATGGGTGTGAGATTAAGTCATGGGGTGGATAAGTGTGTTAAGAGACAAGAATGTTGACTGAGAAAAGGATAGACTTCTGAGAGATATTCACATTTAAGAGATGGGTAGGGAAAGAGAAATTGTGGAGAAGGCTAAAAATGGAATAGCCAGGTTGTGGTGGATTGAAAGTTAGTGGGCTAGAGGGTCTTGCCGAGGATGGGGAGAGGATTATGCCCTTGAACCTGAATATTTTGAACGTTGGCAAGAGTAGGGGCTCCTTGAACACTGCGAAATCCTGGACAGCTCTGAGACTCCAAAAGATTGGCTTAGATACTCGCCCCTTACAAAAAGCCCTATATCCTAAAACAGCTTCCCTTTTCGCTGTCTCCCCAGGGAATTTCCGGGCTCCCTCCAGGCCCTGGCACAATCTTTGCTCCACAGTCCTCCCACATCATCTGAGAGGCCTAGGGCTGGTGGGGGCATCTATTAGGAGAGCAGAAGGGAAATGTCTGCCTGTGTTAAACATGCTGGAGGCCTTAGGCTAGCCTGTGGAGGAGGATTTGGATAGGTCTGGGAGGACGTGAACCCTCAGGGTGTAGACAGAAGGCTCTGTTGCCTGCCCCAACCTGCCCTGGAGGAAATTTTCACCATGGGTTGGATGACCCAGGGCTAAACCGTTGCCTTCTACTCCCTTGAAGATTCAAGAGGCTTCTAATAACCTGGAGTCCAAAGCTATATCCTGGGACCTGTTCCTTCTGATCCAGTCTCCTGGCATTTGGCCTCAGTCTGCAATTGAGGGGCCCTCTGGCATTATTGCTGGGCAACGTGTTAAACAGTAGGCCTTGGAGACAGAACCATGCCAGCCAACAGCTTGATCTGGAGTTAACAGCCACTACAACTGCCATTACCATACCACCTTCTCAGAAAGCAGCTGCCTGTCTGGCCCCTGGTTTTGTCTGGCTGCCAGCCGAAGGCATGTGCCTACGCAGGAGGTGATGACATTTTGGCTCCACTTTCAAAGTTTTTTTTTTTTCTTTCTCATGTTATTTCTAAAGATAACAAAGGTCAAAAGGCACCCAGCATTTTCTGGTTTCTCATAAGCTTCTGGTCAATATTTAATCTGGTTTATGGATTTTTTTTAGGTCTTCTAGATGCCTTCTTGAGCCTGCTTGTGTCCACCCACAGACACTTGTAAGGAGGAGAGAAGTCGGCCGACCAGTGACACTCTGATATGAGGGAATAGAGGACAGGATCCAAGGAGCAGGAGCTCCAGCCTAAAGACGAGAGAGCAGGCCCTGAAGACACTTCTACCGAGAGGTCTGCAATGGCCTCTCTTGGCCTTCAAGTTATAGGCTACATCCTGGGCCTTCTGGGGCTGTTGGGCACCCTGGTTGCCATGCTTCTCCCCAGCTGGCGAACAAGTTCTTATGTCGGTGCCAGTATTGTGACAGCAGTCGGCTTCTCCAAGGGCCTCTGGATGGAGTGTGCCACACACAGCACAGGCATCACCCAGTGTGACATCTACAGCACCCTCCTGGGCCTGCCCGCTGACATCCAGGCTGCCCAAGCCATGATGGTGACATCCAGTGCGATCTCCTCGCTGGCCTGTATTATCTCTGTGGTGGGCATGAGATGCACAGTCTTCTGCCAGGACTCCCAAGCCAAGGACAGAGTGGCAGTAGTGGGAGGAGTCTTCTTCATCCTTGGCGGTCTCCTGGGTTTCATCCCTGTTGCCTGGAATCTTCATGGGATTCTGCGGGACTTCTACTCCCCACTGGTGCCAGACAGCATGAAATTTGAGATTGGAGAGGCTCTTTACTTGGGCATTATTTCCTCCCTGTTCTCCCTCGTAGCTGGAATCATCCTCTGCTTTTCCTGCTCACCCCAGGGAAATCGCTCCAACTACTACAATGCCTACCAGGCCCAGCCCCTCGCCACTAGGAGCTCTCCAAGACCTGATCAACCACCCAAAGTCAAGAATGAGTTTAACTCCTACAGCCTGACAGGGTATGTGTGAAGAACCAGGGACCAGAGATGGGGGGTGGCTGGGTCTGTGAAAAGCAGTGGACAGCCCTCCCCCCCCCAACCCCCTGTCCCGCCAGGACCACAGGTGAGGGACATTGCCATTGCCACTGGATCATGTCAGAAGGTGCTTCTGAGGATAGACTGACTTTGGCCACTGGATCAAGAGAAGGCAAAAATGGGAGCTGCTGTGACAGCTTCCAGTTTGAATTGTCAAGATGCTTGCCAAGCCAGCCTTTCTGTTCCCTTCATCTTGGTCCAACACCCCACACCCTGAGTCCCCAAACCCTCAACTCCAAACCCACCTTCCTGCTCTAGGCCAGGCCCCACAGGCTCCCTTCTGCCCTTTGGTTTACCTGGGAATCCATCCATAAACTCACTAATTATAGCCTATTGACTGATGCTTTCTGTGATCAAAGACCCTCTCTCTGACTGAGATTGGCTCTTAGCTCATTGCTGGAGGATGGCAGAAGAAGGAGTAGTGGCTTTTATGAAAATGGCTCTAACCTCCTTCTCAATCCTCCCTCCAAATAAACGGATTGGCCAGTAATGGGCCCTGGCGCTCTCGCACTCTTGTTATGTCTCCAAGTGTCCAGACTGGCTTCTGCATGAACAGAAATAGAGCCATCCCACCTGTACCGAGGGAACAGAGAGCAACTAGATGCAGGACGTGTGGGAGAGAAGGTAGCTGAGGACCCAAAAAGACCAGAACCACTGCCTAGGGCATTTCTTAGAATTCCCTCGCACTTGTGGGTTGGAGATGTAGCCCACAGCTAGAGGAAAGCACAAGGAAAGAAGATACGGTGGAAAGCTCCAGGCAGCAGCAGACCGGCTCCACTGAGGAACTGCCTCAGGAGCTGCAGCCCCGTCTTTCACTGAAGCTCCTGCTCCCCTGTGGCGCCCCTGACCTGGCCTCCTGCTAAACAACAATGCTAAGGGCCCTACACAATTGTTTCCTGAGGAATGGGAAGCTATTTTTTTTCTAGAGACAGCCCTTAGCTGGAGGATGACAGTGTGGGAGCTGTGGAGGACTGTGAATAATACCACTCCTAGATGCTGCCCAAGAAAGAATTAGAACTTTGGTATCTCAGAAGCTGGGTGGACATGTGTGGTGGCTCCAGTCGATATTTCTACTAGGCCAGAGAGTGGCAGCCCCCCCCCACAACAGAGAGTCTTCAAGCCTAATGGCAAATCCACCCAAAGGCTGAGATCGGGCTCTTGGGGTCCACCCATAGAACCCAACAGAGACTGAAAGACCGCAGCATCAGGCGGGCCTCCTGTCACCCTTCATATTTCTCCCATCATTCTTCACCAGAAATTCCGGTTGCTAGAAGTCATCCAAGGGCTTCAGCATAGAATAAGCAAGCCCAAGGAGCTGCTCTGAGTGGTAGCTGAGCTGCTGCCTGGGATTTCAGATGAGGTCGGAGAGTATAGAAAATAGTGCCAGGCAGACTGCTCCAAGGTCTGAAAATGTCCCATTTCCCCTGGTGTGGGGCAGGGGTGGAAGTCATAAACAAACCAAAGGCATTTTCCCCTCATCAGCCTAAGCATGAGCAACTTCTGACAAAGTCCAGTACACCTCCTCAAACCTCAGTGCCAGCAGAAGGGGCCCATTTATTGTCTCTAACATGCCTTGCACATTTCCACTTCCTAGCCTCATTAAGCTGCTCTACCAAGCTGGAAGGCCCTCTCCCCTTTGCCAAGTCTTCCTCACGCTTGATGAACTTGCTCAGTACCGCCTCCTTCACTGAGCCGCCTCTGACCACTCCATCCCTCTCCTACCCCTCCCTCAATGTACAAATCACGTCTTTAATGCTTATCATTCATTACTTTTGATGCATAGTTATATTTTCATGTGTTTATATCTGATTTCACAAGTACACTGTAAACTTTTCGAGGGTAGAAGCCATAACTTAGACCTCTGTGTATCCTCCAGACTTATAGACAAAGACTGTGTGGAAGAGTGCTGGGCACACAGCGGATGATCAATAAACATTTGTTGATTGACTAACTGTTTTATTCATTAAAAGGGGCCCAGACAAGACAGGGGTGTTGTAGAGAACTGGGCTAAGGGGAGGGTAGCATGGAAACTGGCCTTTCTTCACACTGGGAGGATTAAAAATTATAGACTTTTCTGAAGATATTAAGAAAGCAAGACACCCCTCATCCCCAGGGAAACTTTTACCTTTTCATCTTGCCCAGGGTTCTTCCCTTTTCACAACAATCCTTTCATTTAAGTTAGTTACTAAATTTGTTAGGTTTACTCCTTTCATTCTCTGAATCGTCATTGTGAGGAAGGTGGAACAGATCTGATAATCTCCATTTGGCAGATGGGGAAACTAAGGCCCACATACGTAAATAGATTTTCCCAGGGCCACACAGCTGGTGTTCCTATCCCAATCTCCTGACTCCCAAAATAGGACTCTGCTGATCCAACAATATTCACAGCCAATAGGAGGAGCCTACCAGAGGTCCCCAAGCTGCCAAAGGAAAACAACTTATGGCCAACAAGGTAACACTGGGGACACACAGGCTCTCTTGATCGCCTGTGAGGGGCATCTGGGAGAGCAGGACCGATTCACCGAGGAGACCACCTGGAACTGCCCCTCCTGTCATGCTGGCCAGTTGGTCAGCCTGGGCCCAGCTAACTGTCCCTACAGGGGAGATGCCGAGCTTACATTTGAAGAAGTCACAACACCTGAGTTCCAATTCCCCTAACTCTGGAGGTGTGGGAGTTTGGGAGGCCAATGAGTTGGTCCTGTTCTAACCTCATTTGGAATAAACAAAGCCTACTTCATAAAGATGTTAACTGGCAACACTGACAATAATGGAGCCCTACAATATCCAGCTTCCTCAGTCCCCAGGTCTAGTGGGCCTCAACACACAGGAACCTGTTACAATAGGCACTACTACCATTGCCTTCCTGAAGTGAGCCTTATTTGGAGCAGAAGGAATGGTGGCAGGCAGGAATAAGGGTACAGAGAGAGGCTCTCTGAACAAAAGTTTAATAAGAGATCACCTCGGGTCTGGCACCAGAAACCCAAGTGCACTCGACGGGGTGCCACTTGAGGTTGGAAGATGGGGCTGCCTTGCTGGCTCTACTCTGCTGAGTGGGCAGCAGTCTGGTATGGGATCCAATGATCTACCACCTGGCAACCAAAGCACTTTCAGAACCACCAATTTCACTGCATGCTCCAAATACCCCAACAGAACGGGTCTTTTATAGGAAACAAAATGGAGGCCCAGAGAGGTAAGTTCCCTGAAGTCACAGAGTGTCAGAGTCTGAATATAAGCTTGGAGACCCTTCCCACAGCAATGTGGGTCTGTGATTCTCCTCAGAAGGTGTAAGAGTTCCTGTTGCGCTTCAGATTCCTGCAGCCCTCCTTTCCTGTCTATTACTGGAATCTAAGTGCCTTTGAGGGAAACGGGGCAAAGAGCTTCCCTTCATCTTAGGATGAGGCTGGCCTGGGAAGTCCTCCTTCCTTTTAATCTGGGGAGATCTAAGGAATGAGTTAGATGTTCACCCTCAGCTAGAAAAACCAGGGTAGACCCAACAAAGAGCAACTGACTGAGCAAGAAAAGCCTTTGACTGGTTTTCCCCTTTTGCTCGTTGAGCAAGAAAAGCTTTGATCTAAATAATTTCCAAGAAATTTCCTTGAGTCTGGGTCCATATTCAACAGCTTTCAGCTAACCCCATTGCCTTCCATCATAAAGTAATTTAGATTAGCCCTAGAACGAGGGGATAGTGAAGGCCATTGGGTTCATGCTCCAGCCTCATGGCTCTGAACCTTGCACAAGGAGATGTTTCTGCCTCCCTCATTCCTCTGATAATAGAGTGACTCATGTTTTCTCCTTCTTGGGGCCCTAGTGACCCACTGTGATGTCATCATTAATGGGGAGGTGCAGGCAGAAACTGGCTTCTTGGTGAAAAGGCCAGCTCCAACTTTCTGAGATACCTTCATCTAACCAGTTAAACAGCCATTGCAGCAGCTCTCTACCCAGCCAGCCAACACTAACTGCACTCCGAGTCTGTGTCTGGAAATGTGCTAAAGGCTTGGAGGGCTAAAAGGGTGAACAAGGGTAGTTTGTGCCTTGCAGGAGCTGACAGCTGATCTAGGGAAGATAAGACATGCACACCTAAGTGTGGTCCAAGGCACAATACCGTTTGTCCTGTGTGTGTGTGTGTGTGTGGGGGGAGTGCCATAAGATAGGGTATCAGAGGGCTAGTTTAAAAAGGAATGTAAGTTCCCTAAAATCCCAATCCATATGAAATGAGGTTCTGGTACTACTTGAGCTTCTGGGGGAAGGATGATCAAAAGAAACTGCTTCCTCCAGTGGAAAGACAATGGAAAATAGAGAAATAGGGTGGAGAGCAGTGCTGAGGAGGAGACAGGGAGACACTACTCAGCTAACCCACACCACCTTTGAATTTGCCTCACAGGACTCCTAAATGGCTCTAAAGGAGAGAGTGACCCTGGTGCTCAGCCTCTTCTCCCTCATCTCCTTCTCTGGGGCAGGTCTCCAGAAATTGCTGAGGGCCGCAGAGACAGTGCTTATCTGGGTAACCTGGGGCCTTTTAGCTCTGGGCCAGAGGACACACACAGATGTGGGAGAAGGGGCCCAGTGCTAAAAGAAGGCAAATGAGGTCTTGCAGGGTCAACTCTTCCCTCCCACTCAGCCCTGGGCCCATAGATCAGGGGGCTCTTTTGTGCCTTCAGCTGCCCACTCTGGGACATGCAGGCCCCAGGCTGGGAAGTGCTTGTGCTCGTCCTCAGCTGACTGAACTGAAGCCTGGCCTTCACCCAGCCTGGTCTCCCTGCCCAAGCGGCTCCTAGCTTTGATGAGAAATTATGTTATCTCAATAGGAGGGGGAAAGCTTCCAACAGGAAGTCCAGCAGGTTATC